ACTCTGGCGCTCGGTACCAAGTACCCCGAGCACACAGAGCAACCAGTTGATAAAGCATAACTCCCAATTCCCTATAAGGACTTCTAAGTCCTGATTGGTCACAAAACACCAAAAAATGGAGCTCAAACGTAGAGCAGTATTCAAAACAATCTCTTCTTGCCTAAGGCCTAAGACATAACAGACCAAATATGCCTCCCCTCCCGGGCCTACTAATGTCCAATTTTACTTCCACACTCCCCCCTTTTGAACACGGGAGACCCACGCTGTTCACAGAAAATCAGAGACCATAGTGTTGTGTAGACCACGAAAGTGCAATGAGGTGATTGGATGGAACATGTGTTACCACAGGAGCTGGCGTTGCTGGTCACATTGGTGACAAACCGGGGCAGCTGAGCCTCGGCAGCGACTGTGCTTTTCCTCGCACAAGAGGCCAGGTGGTAACCTTCTCTGCCACACACTGTCACAAGTACCATGGAACTACTGTAGCATAAAACCATGAAATGCCAGAAGCTATAGTGCCACCCACCATAAATTTAAAAATATCTAAAATTAGTAAATATGTGAGTTAATGAAGAGAAAATGAGCCCTCTCATCTACAGGTAGTTTGATTTACGTTGCAAACCGGTAAGCGGGCACAGGCGGCTGCGCTTCTCTGGGAATGAATCCGGCTGACGCGGCATTTTTTGTTCAGATCTTTGAATCAGGGGTCTAGTCGACCGTGAACACGAAACAGACGCTGTTATTAAACACTGCTGTTTAAGTTGTCAATAGTGATCAAAATCACCTGGAAATAACTATAAAGATGTTTTAAATACGGGGTTTAATTGTATTAGATTGAAAGTTATCTCCATAATGGGAAAATATGCAATAACATTCTCATGATTCTGGGGTTTGCAAAAAAAAAGCTCACTGTAGGTTATGTGAAAGATTTAAGTTTTATCTCAGACATGCTTTCAAAGAGCCACACATTGGTGCGATGGTTATGTTGGGCTTGAAGGGAAACACAGGGTCGAGATGCCAGTCCATCACCCAGCAGACTAAAGTGTAATCCATTCTCGATTGCACGAATATTTCTCGGCTTATTCAGAAACTTCAAAGGAAACATCGTTTATTTATAACAAAGAACGTGTTACTCTGAAAGCTGCATGGTGTCAAAAGTGAGTGGCGTTAAAGCTTAATTTTTGCGTGGAGTCTTGCAAGACTAGCGAGGCGCACTCCCTGAGGCTTCCTCTCCGATGAAAAGTGTTTTCTACCACTCGCAGGTCTTTAAGTCACAAAACCGACAGGCTTTTTGTCCATGCAGCTCTGTGCCATTCGGGGCGGAGAGCCTATCGCCCCGGCTCTGTCCCCGGCCGCCAGCCTGCTCACGGCCAGTGGCCAGACGTCCTCTCTGCGGCGCTCTATCCGATCTGACAGCTGTGACCACAATGACTAAATTGTGCAAAGTAAACGCTCCATTTCTCAGACTAATTCTATCAAAATCAATTCATAGAAGCGCTTTCGACACTTTATGTAAGAAATGCCTTCAACAGGGAATTGCACTTGACATCGTGATGAGAATTCACCATCGAACCAACTTATTCTTGAAGGTCGTTGTCCAAATAGCAGCTACATCAGTTAGTTAGCTACATCACAACGGCATCACCCTCCAAAACACATTTGATAGGAGAGAATTACATACAATTTTTAAGAATTATCTTGTTATACTTTAGACCTTTATAAGAGTTGATTGCGTTCAGGAATAACCAACTGAATATACAAATTCACCAGCCAACAAATAAAGAAGATAACGAAACATGTGACATATATAACTAGAAGTACAGTTCCATCCTAAATTAAATAATACGCGCGGTCCTCCATGACGACAGGGGGCGCTTTAGTACAAACCGCGTTGAGTTACTTACAGAGTGACATTTTCCGGGGAGTTATTTTGATGTTGCACAGGGCAGGTGACATATCAACACAAACGCGTGAGTATAATAAGCACCGTTTCCTTCGTTAATCGTTTACTTAACTAGCAGCCAGTTTTATGTGTTTATAGGAAGTTTATCTGAAGCTTCAGAAATGTGACGCTTCTGTTCGCTAACAACAAGTTGTCTATGAATTTCTTTGAATTTGATTAACATGTATAAAAATGTGCATTATCTTTACATATCGATGTACTGTAATATCCCTGTAATATCTAGTATTTTACCAACTCTGTGTTCGTATTTCTGTCCATCGTCTTTTAATGTCATCGTTATTTTTAAAGCTGGCTACCTGAAAAGCAAGCGGTCTTCGGTATGCTTTTCTTTTAGATTCTTTGCCTGAGCAGGTGTGAATCAGTTCATTAATATTACATAATAATGTAATACGAATGCTACTTGTTTGTGTATTGTTTCCCGCATAGACCAGTCCGTGTGATTTGCGTACATGCCAGTTAGGCTGCAGGGAGATGCCTTCGGAATACTTTATGCAGGAACAACCCACTTTGCACATATCAGGCGTTCTCTGTTGTCTTGTTAATTTTTGCCTGTGTAAATGAACTACATCATTAAGATAAATTTGTGAGAATATTAGAATTATAAATGTATTTTGTGTAAAGTTAAATATTAAAAACATCTGTGCAAAATTCCTATAAAATGAATGGAATATTGTTGTATAGAACAACATCCAGCCTATTTGTGTAGGCCATCGTTTAAGCTCTATCTAGTTTGTATAAATGGTTGCTTTTTTTTTTTCTTTTCAGTCATGCGTCTGTTGCCTGCATGAATTTTCCATCCCGAATAGCAGCTTTCCTGCAGAATGAGTGGTCCCAAGCCAGACATCCTGTGGTCTCCTCACCACGTGGATCGCTATGTGATCTGTGACTCGGAGCTCAGCCTGTACCGCATCGAGTCCCTGGGGAGCACCGAGGCCAAGGCCGGTGCCGTCCCGCTGTCAGAGGAGACAGCAGCCACGCTGCTGGCCATTAACTCCGACACACCCTACATGAAGTGCGTGGCGTGGTACCCCAAACACGAGCCTGAGTGCCTGCTGGCCGTGGGTCAGGCCAACGGCCGCGTGGTCCTCACCAGCCTGGGGCAGAGTCACAACTCCAAGTGCAAGGAGCTGATGGGGAAGGAATTTGTGCCCAAACATGCGCGGCAGTGCAACACGCTCGCCTGGAACCCCGTGGACAGCAACTGGTTGGCTGCGGGTCTGGATAAGCACCGAGCCGATTTTTCAGTCTTGATATGGGACATCAGCAGCAAGTTCACCCCTGAGGCCTCAGTGCCAGCTGAGAAGATCCGCCTGTCGTCTGGGGACACGGACTCGGGTGTGGTGGTGACCAAGCCGCTGTATGAACTAGGCCAGAACGACGCCTGCCTGTCCCTCTGCTGGCTTCCGCGCGACCAGAAGCTGCTGCTGGCCGGCATGCACCGCAACCTAGCCATCTTCGACCTGCGCAACACCAGCCAGAAGATGTTCGTCAACACCAAAGCCATCCAGGGAGTGACAGTGGACCCGTACTTCCACGACCGTGTGGCCTCCTTCTTCGAGGGCCAGGTGGCGATATGGGACCTACGGAAGTTCGAGAAGCCGGTGCTGACGCTGAGCGAGCAGCCCAAGCCGCTGACCAAAGTGGCGTGGTGCCCCACCCGCACGGGCCTGCTGGCCACGCTGATGCGGGACAGCGACGTGGTGCGCCTCTACGACATGCAGCACACGCCCACGCCCATCGGTGACGAGACGGAGCCCACCATCATCGAGCGCTGCGTGCAGCCCTGCGAGACCATAATCGGCAGCTTCGCCTGGCACCCCTCTGCCCAGAACCGCATGGTGGTGGTATCGCCGAACCGGGGCATGACGGACTTCACGGTGTTCGAGCGCATCTCGCTGGCCTGGAGCTCTGGCACGTCGCTGGTGTGGGCTTGCGGCCGGCATCTGTACGAATGCTCTGAGGAGTGCGGCGCCGGGGCCGCGGCGGCAGCCGAGCGCGACGTCGCCACCAAGATGCGGGAGCGCGCTCAGTCCCGCTACGGCCACGACACCGTGCAGGTGTGGAAGAACCACGTGTTAGCTGGGGGCAACGACCCGCAGCTGAAATCCCTCTGGTACACACTGCATTATATCCTTCATGATCATCATCGTTATTACATCATTCAGTGTTTTCCATATTTCTTTGTGGCGGGTCGCCATGGCAAAAAAAAATCAATCTAGCCAATCAGTCGTCTAATTTGATGATCGCCGCCCCCCACCGCATGCATAATGGAATTCAGTATTTTCCAAGGAAAACAGGCTAGGTAGGTAAACAGAGCAGCATTTAGGTAGGTGGGGGGCAATGACGCATTTCTCTCTTCGCTCTCTCATACCCCATTTACACACACCAGTTGACACCCACTTATATATCGCCAATTTACCATTATGGTGTCATGTGGGAAAGGGAGAAAAACTGTGAAATTTACCCATTACTCCATCCCCTGGCTACCTAGTAATATTAGCGCTAACTTTCTGACAGCTCCAGTGTGAATGTGAAGCTGTAACAGGCCCCCACCCCACGTGGATCATTATTATATCATCACGTTGCAGTGCTTTTTCTTACACTGGGCTAATAATGCTAAGGTCATGGGTTCGAGTCCCCGGGAGCATACATGCATTGCAACCCTTCCCACTGCTATAAGTCACTTTAACTCAAAGCATCAGAGAAATGAATAAAATGTAAATGTAATTCCCAGTCGCCTTGTAGCCCCACACCCCCGGGGTTGGGGCTCTTACAGTAGGTGCGTTTCCTGCAGGTATTCCGGTTTCTTCCCTTAATCTAAAAATATGGGGTTATTTGAATCAGTTTCTCAAATTTACCCATTAATGTCTCAATCGTCATGCTACTAAAATACTATTTATTTGTAACTTGTAAATTAATATATGAATTTTAAGGATTTGTCTATATTCAACCCAAGAGGTTACATGAGAAGATAATCAAACTGACTGGTTGATTCTCAGCTTGGCCACGCTTATTCATTTTGTTTGCCAGTATGAGTCTAAATGTCACATCCATAATGCTGGAACTGCACTGTGATTGCGTTTGTGTGTGGGTGTGTTTGCTTGCCCTGTGACGGACTGCCATTTTAATATGGACAATGAGTGTGTGCTCTTCTGGGGGCCAAATGTGGGTTAGTCATTTCCCTGCTGCCGTTTGAGGTGCTTGTCCGGCTTCCAGTCAGCTGTGTGTTGTATAATCCTGTGGTTTGAGGTTCCTATGCATGCATCACTTATGAAGCAGTACACTGAGGACCAGGAGCACAAGCAGCAGGGGAACAAGCAGCCGCTGCTTTACTCGGGCATCAAGAACATCGTCAAGTCCAGCACCTCCGGTGAGTCCCCACCGCTGATCGGCGCTCTGAGACCAGCGCTTCCTGTTCCCATCGGAGATGATCCATCATCATCTGCTTTTAAAATATCTTTCTTGATTTTTTTATAAACTTTTTGGAACAGTGATCAGCTCAACGAGTTAGGAACCAGAAAGTCTCTGGTTCAAATCTTGTGGTCTGCAGAGTGGTTGTGTCCTTGAGGGAGACCCTAAACCAGGGCTCTTCAATTCTGGACCTCGATTCCAAATCCAGGCCTTGTTTTCCGTTCTCCCAGGTAGTTAGTTTAATTCTGATTGGCCAGAGGCTTCTCACCTGGTTCGTGGGTAAAGGGAGGCTGGAAAACCAGCACGGCTTGGACCTTGAGGGCTGTGATATGAATAGCCCCACCCTAAACCTAACTGCCCCAGGGACTGGCCGGCCTTCTTCTCAATAAATCTCAATAACTTAATAAATAGTAAATAATGTAATTATCACTTTTCTCCGCCAGAGGGGTGAGTTTAACATACTCCTCCTCGTCTGGGAAGTGAGTAGCTGTGCAGCTCCTTTGGGGGGGCAGTGCCATCCGCATGATTCCCCCCACGGCCCTGCAGGCACGCAGCTGACACCAGATGGCGCAGTAGAGCAGTAAGGGCCAGTTGGAGTCCAAGCGACCAGCTGGCCTGAAACGACATGAGCCCAGTCATGACTGCTGGGCCCCCTCATCACGGATGGCTAATGATTTGACTGAAAGCCTGCTGGCCCCTATGTTTACTCTTATTGGTAAAATCAAAAGCTCATCCGGCAGAACATTGGATGAAATGATACATTCTGAGAATGATAAAATCTCAAACATCACTCACTAACAGAAATATAAGCTCAGATGTGTTAAAGCAGCTTAGCCACCTTGCAAAAAAACATCTTCAGGTTCGAATGCTGCCCCCACTCTGTGTGGAGGGGGTTTGCATGTTTTTTACATATCTGCGTCTCTAAAAATAAGTGTTCACAAAAAGTTAAAAGAAGTGGAGCCGCATTCATCCTTTATCCCAAGATGAGATCTGTGTGCCTTTGGCCTCCCTGCCCCATCAGGTACGACGGAGAGCCGGCGCTGCTGGAGCGGCTCGGAGCGGCCGGCCGAGGTGGTACGGTACCTCAGCGAGGAGCGTGGTCTGGCGCTGCAGCTGTGTGGCTGGATCCGATGCGGGCCCGACATCAACGTGGAACCCTTCCTCAAGTCCCTGGAGCAGGAGGGCGAGTGGGAACGTGCCGCTGCCGTAGCGCTCTTCAACCTGGACATCCGGCGAGCCATCCAGATCCTCCACAAGGGGGCGTCCTTCGATAAAGGTAGGCGGGTCCCGTCCGGTCGGCCAGATTCTGTCTCCTGAAGTCTGGCTAATTTCTGCTCAGTATTGTTGTGCTGGATTGACATTGTTATCCAAAGAAACGGTTTTATATCTTAACGGAGCCATTTGGGTAAAGTATTGTTTAACCTCATGGGTCCAACAGACGGTGCCACAGTGGGATTTGAATTGGCACCCTTTGGATTAATCATGCGGGCTCCTAGTCACCATTTGCTGCCCATGTTGTGGCTCCCATGTGCTGTCTGTACCCGCTGATCTCCCGGACGGCATACCGGGTTCTGTGGTGTCTACGCTAACCCTGCTGTGGACCATAGCAGCGAATGTGGGCTCTTACGTCCCCAGTGCAGGCATAAGGCCGTTGCCCCAGGCGAGCTGCCAGATATCAGCCCCGATCGCTTCCTCTGCACTCTCTCGAGCCGCTGTGGCGCTCCTCGCTCCCATGGTTACCTGCCCCGCCGGCGTTGCCTGGTGATGAATGGCACAGGATGGTGTGTAAACAGAGCTGCCTGCCTGCTGGCCTGCCTGTGGTAAATTAGCTGGCAGTATTTCGCCGCACGCCTGGGGTGCCGCCGCTGGGGCTGTCCCAGATGTTACGGTGAGGGTGTTTATTTTTAGTTTGATCTAGAGCAGTGCTTCTCCACCCAGTCCTCAGGGATCCCCCAGTCAGGGCCACGTTTTTGCGTTTTTGCTCTTTCCCAGCTCTCAGTACACTTGAACCAAGCAATCAGGAACGAACCAAGCAATCAAGAACACCTGGTATTGCTGTACTGGGAGCTGGGAGGGAAGAAAGACATGGACTGTCCAAGGGTCCCAGGGTACTTGGTTGAGAAACACAGATCTAGAGTCTTACGCTTTAGGGATTTGCGATCACCCCAAATAAACGGGGAGAATCCCCGAGCTTATGTACGATTCCGGCTGAGCTTCGACACAAAGATGCGGCCTGTGCGGTTCCCACGGCGACGCTCCCTTGACCCTTCAGGAGACCTGAATCTGAACGTGGTCGCCATGGCGCTGTCGGGCTACACGGACGAGAAGAGCTCCCTCTGGAGGGAGATGTGCAGCTCGCTCCGGCTCCAGCTCAGCAACCCCTACCTCTGCGTGATGTTCGCCTTCCTCACCAGTGAGCCAGGGGCTTACGATGGAGTGCTGGTACGTCGTCCCCGGGGCGGGGCGGGGGGGGGGGGGGGGCACCTGTCCTGCCCTTCCCTTCATGCTAACTGGAGGCTGTTGATCGTCAGCGTAGGACTTTACTTCATCGTTTATTATTCAAACAAGCTATTGTGTAACCAGCTACTTACATAATAAGATGGATGAGGGAGAGTCATGGGGCATAAGAATTGTTACTGCCTTGTTATTATTTAACCCGTTGCATAAGTACTTGTCATATTTCATAAGCAGCATGTAATGGATCTTTTCAAGGTTGCCATGTTCTGTTTGTGTGATATTTCCCCTTTTGGAGCTGAATTAGGAGAATTTTCTAAGGTTATGTGATGTGGCCTGGCGTCTGTCTTGTCTAAGACCTCACAACCTGAAGGGCCACAGGCATGTTAGGTCTTGGGGTAAATCCGGCCCTGTGTGGGAATGGCGATGAATCGGGAGATGGTGTTGAGGACGTGTCCCCTTCCCTCTCTGTCCTCCGCAGTACGAGAGCCGTGTGGCTGTCCGGGATCGAGTGGCCTTCGCCTGCATGTTTCTCAGTGACTCCCAGGTGAGCGTGGGTGCTGAGCTCTCCTGCAGACCGGCCCTGGCTTCCTGTCTGTAAGGGCTTAGGGGTTCGGGGAGGGGGGGCGAGGATGAGTGTAAGCTGGGGGAAGAGTGCTGTGTGGGAGGGGTGGTCCTTGCAGAATTGCAGAATGAATTATAGAATGAAAAAGATTTACGCTAGTGGTATTTTTCCCTACTTTGGCTCAAGAGACTGCCATACAACATCTTTGAAGTTAATGTGCTAGTCATACTAGTCATACTAGTTTTTTTCATGTATAAAAAAATATTCTGTAGTGACCAGCTGTGTTTCAAACAATTTTATGAGGATCTTTTTAAAGGTGGATTTAAACTGCAGGACTGGATATAATTTGCACACTTTTGCCTTTTGGGCAGGTGATTGAGCCTGTAGTTCTTGGTTTGTTACAGATGTTTAATACTGTTGATTGGTTCCTCAGTTGCCACGCTACATTGATAAGCTGACCAATGAAATGAAGGAGGCGGGGAACCTGGAGGGGATTTTGCTGACGGGACTCACGAAAGACGGTGTGGACTTGATGGAGAGCTACGTGGACCGAACAGGAGATGTTCAGACTGCCAGCTTCTGCATGCTGAAGGTGTGGAGGTTCATCGGGTTGGATGAACATTCAGAGCATTGGTGGGATTGCTGTGTCTTCTGATTGGCTAACCATTATATTACTGTTTGGGTGGGCCAATAGCACTAGGTGTTCTCATTTAGAAGTGGACGAGGACGGTCCGTGTGGGGATTCAGGCTGATGCCGGTCTTCCCTGACAGGGGTCTTCGGGGGAGGTGCTGAAGGACCCCCGCGTCCAGTGCTGGATTGAGAACTACCGCAACCTCCTGGACGCCTGGAGCTTCTGGCACAAGAGGGCTGAATTTGACATCCACCGTAGCAAGCTGGACCCCAGCTCGAAGCCGCTGGCACAGGTGCCGTGTGCCGTTAATCCTTCCACAGCGTGACTGCTGAAGTGACCCCCGAGCTGTATGCTTTCTTTTTTTGGATATATTCGGGATATGTTTAAATAAATCTGATGAATGTAAACATTTCTATAGTGAAAGGTTAATTCGCCTTTAGCAGTGACAGTATACTGATAAATCAGTGACGTATATATGGTGGTGATTGGTGGATTTACATCACATGACCTGGGTTGTTACATCACATGACCTGGGTTGTTACATCACATGACCTGGGTTGTTATATCACATGACCTGGGAATCACATGTGGGTTGAATGAGGTGGTCAGTGCCCTAACTTTCCCCTCCCCCGCATACCTAGGTCTTTGTCAGCTGTAACTTCTGCGGGAAGTCCATCTCCTACAGCTGCTCCTCCATGCCCCACCAGGGCCGTGGCTTCAGCCAGTACGGGGTCAGCGGCTCGCCCACCAAGTCCAAAGTCACCAGCTGTCCCGGCTGCCGCAAGCCGCTGCCCCGCTGTGCCCTCTGCCTCATGAACATGGGCACGCCGGTGTCCAGCTGCCCAGGTGACAGCGGGACGGAGGGGTGGGTGGGGGTCCGGCCGCTTTCCGGCACACTGGATGCTCTGAATGTCCTGAACTGGAATCTGGACGATAGCAGAACAAAGCAAGAACAGTGATTATCTTAGATCCTGGATGCTGAGTGTAAACACAGAGTGAACTCGCTTGTAATAAAAACAAAATCATTGTTTATTAGGTACTGGGAAATCAGACGAAAAGGTCGATCTCAGCAAGGATAAGAAGCTGGCCCAGTTTAATAACTGGTTCACATGGTGCCACAACTGTCGCCATGGGGGACACGCAGGTCACATGCTGAACTGGTTCAGGTGAGCACTGGCTCTTGATTCTGTTTTGACTGAGTCTTGACTGAAAAGGAGCTAAACTTGTTTGTACATACAATACTGTGCAGAAGTCTTAGGCAGTTAGATAAAATGATATTTATATGATGTTCATGTTTATGTCTGTCAGTGTCAGCTTAGCCATTTCAAAACCTCTCTTTAAGTCACCCCAGTATGTGCAGTAACCGTCCAGCGAACCCACGTATTTTTTGAGTTGACCACTAATTAATCGGTACCTCAGTGACTTTAATTTAACTGGTGGTGAAAACCGTCAAATACGTGGAATAGCTGGGGTGGTCCTGGGAGAAGGTTTGGCAACCAAAATGGGGTTTATCTAGCCCCCAAACAAGATATCAGTGACTTTTTGGAGAACGGAACTTGTTCGTTTTTATTGTGTTACTGTTAATTTATGTTCTCGTGTAACATTGTGCTTTTTTTTCTAAGCAAATGTACACTTACTACCAGAAAAATAGCTTTAAAAATGTGGTTGCCTAAGACTTCTCCACGGTACTGTATTTAAATAAACAGACATGCGACACATTGCTGCAAAGCTGCAGGCTCTTCTAGCAATAGCTGCTTTGTTCACAAATGTCGTAACCCCCACCCCCCCCCAGCGATCACAGCGAGTGCCCAGTGTCAGCTTGCACCTGTAGGTGCATGCAGCTGGATACGACTGGGAATTTGGTTCCATCAGACAGCAGCTAGGGGGCGCCCTGCCCCCTCACCCCCCCCAGCCCCCCTGCCTTGATTGTCCAGAGGCCAAACTGCGAGGCCGTGACGGAACACGTGTCCGTCCCATCATGGACTTATTGAAAATCCCTGCAGTCATCTGGAGAATTTTGTTTTAATTGGAAGGAAGCTCTCAAACCTGTGGTTTGTCTCTCAGTGAGGTAGGTGCTGAAGGACAACGCTTACACACTTAAAAATAAATGTAAGAAAATTTCTGAATTGCGGACTGTGGAACATGACGGACTTGCCCGGCAGAGTACGGCTGACCAGGGATTATTTAACGGGCTGATAGCGACTAAGCAGCTTGGAGTGACACACTGCTGGGAGTTTGCAAACGGAAGAGAGAACAGATAGTGTGAAGTACTGACACGGTTTCTATGGCTACCTCTGAAATAAATGCCTTTTCATAATATTTTGCTTTATGTCATGCAGCCTTCAGCGTTGTTGGGAATTAACTCCACTTTCAAAGAAGTGGAAAAGTGTTCCAGAAATTTGGACAGAGTGCCGCACTGTAAGTGCCACGTAATGCTGTGGCCTGGTGTTTTTGCATATTGAGGTTTGACTCTACGCTGCCATCGTGGCCCCCTGCATGGGGCCATCCTGAAATGGCCCTTCCCATCCCTGATTCAGCTAGACCCAAGTCCTTTTCCACCCCATTTTAAGGTAATTTAACTGACTCTAATGATACAGATTTGGGCAACCGCACTCTAATAATGACTGTAAGATTAATCTAAGTGGGTCATGCATTATCCCATTAATGCAGATCATGAATAAGCAGATATCTCTGCCCATTAGGGCATTATATAGACAAATCTGACAGATGTAATATATATATAAAGACAGGTACCAACATCTTTTATAAAATATACAGTATATTCATACACAAACGCTGTTACACACTTGCCAAGAATTTCTGTCTTACACTGATACGTCTGCATTTTCACAGCTATGTATGAACAGTTACTGGTAATGGATGTTAATTTCTAATGGAAAGACCACAGAGTGATTATAGCACTGCTTTTTGTGAAGGAATATCACACACTGCTTATGGATGCATCTGTTGGAAAAGCGTCTTGTTGCAATAAAAGCTTCCACAGCTCCAGATTGGGGATTCCTTAAACTGAAATAAAATCCAGATTTGTGACATTGTATTGCAATTAGTGCTGTATGTGTGAATAAACTAGTAATTACAAGTTCTTCAGCGCTCCTGTAGTTAAACTGCGATGACTTTCCGAAGGCTAAGGTTGTATAAAGATTGATAATAATTCCTGCAACTAAGACTATTACAGGATAAATGTCTGAATTATTATAAGAGGCAGGACACTTGTCCAGAAAGAGGCATATTTCGCTTTTTCTTCATGGCTTCTGGAGGAGGACGCACAGATGGTCAGGTGTTGTATGTTTCTTTTGGTGGCTGCTGGCGGTTCAGAGGTGACGGTGTGTCAGAGCCGGCTCTGCGTCTTCTGGATTGGGCAGAGGAATGTTTCTGTGAGACGGTCTCACCGCCCAGCCGACCCGCACGGTAATAACATCAGCGCCCTTCCTTCTGGGAACGCTGGAGAGTGTCCAAGACGCCCAGTGGAGGGTGTGGTGAGCGTATGGTTAATGCTAACGCCGCGTGTAAAGCCTGCCTGTTGCAGCAGTGCTTTGTATCGAGGCATCAGTCTGACCAACATTGTTTTTTCACGTTTAACTTTGCCTAGGGATTTTTTTTTTTAAACTGAGATATCCCAACATGCACTTTGTGTTGTTTGCTTTTTCAATGGTCCTAACATAATTTTGCAGTGTTCCATATGTCCTTAAAGAGTTACCGTTGAGTGCGTAACTGGGGATTATGGGTAACAAGGCATAGGGGGTTGCTATCAGGTTAAGGTAGGGCGATCAACTTGCTGTTGTGCCCTGTATCAGAAACTGACTCTAGATTTCTGTAGCAAGATTCATAAATGTATGAATTCTCTAAGGACCTGTATTAAAGATTCTATGCACTTAAATAGCATGGTGTTTCAACTTCCTAATTTTCACTTTCCCCCAAAAAGTTGTGTTTTATTAACAAATTGTGAGATGAGATGCGATCGTCGTGCCTGATTTTCCTTTCGTGCATCCTTTTCTTTTTAAACTAAACTGCTTCAGCTAAAACAGCACAGCCAGCGTCCAAGCAGATTAGTCCTTTTACCCTCATAGATAGTTTTGTAAATGAAATCAAATTAGTTTTCTAACACATTATGGAGCAAAGTAATAACGATGTGGGAGAGATTACTGGCATGGTGATTCCACTGGCCCGTCCGCTGTACTACACTGCCATGGTGATTCCACTGGCCCGTCCGCTGTACTACACTGCCATGGTGATTCCACTGG